ATTTTTGTTTAGGAGAAGGAGTTTTCAACTAATTTCACAATGGCAGAGAAAACATTCCAGAAAATCCCATTGTATTATGAACGTTGATGTTCCTTACACTTTTTAGATTTCTAATAAATGCTTTTCTTCCTTGCTTCCTTCCTTCCTTCCTTCCTTCCTTCCTTCCTTTCTTCCTTTCTTTCCTTCTTTCTTCTTTCTTTCTTTCTTTCTTTCTTTCTTTCTTTCTTTCTTTCTTTCTTTCTTTCTTTCTTTTTTGAATTTTTGTGGGTTTATTTTAACCCAAACTGACAATTGCTGGGAAGCAAGATCTCAAATGCTCCTTCCTAAGAGAGAGAGAGATAGAGGGAGAGAGAGAGGGAGGGAGGGAGAGAGAGAAGAGAGAGAGAGAGAGAGAGACTAATAAATGTTTTTAAAATGGAGTTTATAAAAGCATTTATTATAGCCCTAGCTGGTTTGGCTCAGTGGATAGAGACTTGGCCAGTGGACTGAGGGGTCTTGGGTTGAATTCTGGTCAAGGGCATGTACTTCGATTGCAGGCCGATCCCTGGCAGGTAGGGACAGGCAACCAGTTGATGTATCTCACATCGATGTTTCTCTATCTCTCCCTCCTCCTTCCACTCTCTCTGAAAATCAATGGAGAAAATATCCTCGAGTGAGGATTAACAATACCAACAACAAAAGTATTTATTATAAGGAAAGGGACTAAAGCCCCTTCCGTGTGGCTCAGGGGTTGAGCGAGGACTCATGAATCAAGAGGTCAGAGCACATGCCTGGATTTTAGACTCGATCCCCAGTAGGGGGCGTGCAGGAGGCAGCCAATCAACGATTTTCTCTAATCATTGATGTTTCTCTCTCTCTCTCCCTTCCTCTCTGAAATCAATATTTTTTTCTTTTAAGAAAGGGACTGAAGAAAAGGAATGGAAAGAAAACAGACCTCAAACTCTTGTCAAAGACTTGATTTACACAATTAACAGCCTTCAAGATTCCTCATCCCCACTCCCATGGTTCTACTTTGTAATTTATTAGGCAAATAATTTTGGTCATCCCCTTTGTGCACAGCAAGGAGGAGCAGCTAACCTGAGCTGGGAAGCTCAGGAAGGCTTCCTGGAGGAGGTGCTGCCTCCCAAGTGGAGCTTGATAGCGAGGAGAAAATGCAGGGTTTAGGATTGCTCTGGCGCTGACAGCAAAGCTCCCTGCTATCCCAGGCGCTCTCCCCTTGCGGAAAAGAGTAAACAGCAAAATGTGTGGTCGATCTTTTGGAGAAAACGGAGTCTTGCTTACCATCTGTGGAGAGGAGAGTGGAAGGGAGGACGGGAGGAAAAGCATCAAAGCTCCCCTCTTCAGTAAGACGCACTGCCAGCAGCTCTTGTTGCCGGATCCCAGGAGGAAGCATTACAAATGCCGAGACCGCCGAAGTGGGAGCGGTAGGGGCGGGCGTGGCCTAGAGGACACCTACCTTCCCGCGCCCAGGCGGCCCGGCGAACAGGCCCGGGTTGGGGGCACTCCTAACCATCCGCCACCTTGGTCGGGTCCCCAAAGTCCTCACAACCCTCTGAAGACTCGTCAGGGATGTGGCCTAACTGGTGTAGTAAACTCGTCCTGGCCCCCGGAGATCGCAGCTTCATAACTGCGGGGACCGGTTTCGTGTCCCAGCTTCCCTAGACAAGTGGGGTGCCGCTGCGTAGGGCGTGGAGCAGCGTCCCCGTCGAGCCCCGGCTGACCCCTCCCCCGCAGTGGGTGCCTTTTAGGGATGGGCTTCCTCCCTAATTAATTCAAATTCTCTTCCCCCTTCTCTCCCTCTCGAAAATTATTTTCGTTGCTACTTCATAACTGTAATTTTGCTACTGTTATGAATCGTAATGTAAATATCTGATATGCAGGATGTATTTTCATTGTTACAAATTGAACATAATTAAAGCATAGTGATTAATCACAAAAACAATATGTAATTATATATGTGTTTTCCGATGGTCTTAGGCGACCCCTGTGAAAGGGGCGTTGGAGCCCCAAGGGGGTCGCGACCCACAGGTTGAGAACCGCTGCTCTAGGCGGAGGGTCTGGAGTCTCGTAGGCGGAGCCCTGGTGGCTTGTGCTACTGCGGACCGGGTGTGGGAGGGGCTGGCAAGGGGTGGCCGGTGAGGACGGACCTGAGACGCCCCACCGCCGTGGCGGGGACCGGTGACCTGCAGGGCGAGGGAAGCTTGGGGCCTGGAGTTCCCGCCTTCTTTCTTCCCCTCCCAAACCACGGTGCCAGAAGGGAATCGAGCCATGGGTCGCAGCAGAACCGCCCGGCGCTGGGCCAGCGGCGCGGTGCCAGTGGGTTGGGG